GAAAGAAAGAAAGAAAGAAAGAAAGAAAGAAAGAAAGAAAGAAAGAAAGAAAGAAAGAAAGAAAGAAAGAAAGAAAGAAAGAATAAACATATCATTTCCGAGCTGCACATGAATGCCTCAGTACGGCTCCGCCTCCTTTCAGTCACGTGACTGAAGCTGCTGATGTGACGCTTTGCTAGCGCTTCTACTTAGCAACTTTGTTGACTTTCGCAATTAGTCGCCCCTCGTTAGGTTCGGGGGTTAAAAAGAAAGTAACATAAAAAAATGGACAACAGCGGGAAAGAAAAGGAAGCTGCGGCTTTAATGGCGGAGGCGGAGAAAAAATTAAAATCTTCTCAGTCGTTTTTCGGGTCGCTGTTTGGGTGAGTACCATGTCAGCTAGCCAGTAGCTAGTCGGCTCCGGTGTCAAAGCTGAGGGCCACCTAAGCGGAAGATGGTCAGTTAACTACCGACCTGCTGATGAAATTACAAAAATCTCACCGGAATAAGCCTTGTTATGTTGCATTTAACGTGTTTGTCTGCAAATGTATGATTCCTCTTCGCTATTTATTGGATCTCTGCGCGTCTGGAAACAACTAAATGGTAAATGGTAAATGGTACTGAACTTATAGAGCGCTTTTCAAGTCCCTCCGGACCCCAAAGCGCTTTACACTAACAGACATTCACCCATTCACACTCACATTCACACACTGATGATGGCAAACTACACTTAACAAACTAAGAGTCTAATATTGCTGTTGGCAGCCTTAAACAGGGAGAATTACACTTATATATTGTTCTACCTGAACCAGATACAGCAGAAGACCTTCAGGCTCTAAACTGGTTATAATAAGAAATAAATACAAGGTTATAAGGTTGAAATTCAATAGATTTTGCTGCGGTGTTGCTGCTTTGGCGCCACCTACTGGACACATCGATTAGTGCAGGTCACATGTGTGTCATTTGTTTATTAAAGCAGAATTTAAATGATTAAATTGCATCAAATTTAGTCTAAGTTTATATTAAGCTACGCTAACCAGTTGTGCTTTATTATACAGTGGCTGTAAATTACTGTAATAACGTTTGACAGGCTAACACCCCCTAAATGAAACGGGAAAAAAAATTATGAACCAAAACCTGCTAAAAAGGTGTAATGATCAAAATAAAATCTCGTACTTTGTTCAGTTGTCTGTTATATTTAGACTAAACTCAACTTTTTATTTTAATAAGGAGCTTTTTGTGTGTAAAAATGTGCAAGTCATGTTAGGCTGGCCTGACAAACACGTTCCTCTGAAAATCTCAAAACTAAAAGCAGGTGTTGTCCAAAGGAAAACTCCAAAAACCTGAAGAACCACCAAGACTAATAATTTACAAATGCCTGACTACTTACAAGTAGAAATACTGTAGAAATTAAGTTTAGCTTTAGACACTGACACATTTTTATTATGTAAATTCACTATAAAACAATATAAGTCTGAATATAAAACAATTACAAAATACCTTTCTGTCCGATTTTGTATGAATGTTTCCAGACATGTTCGTATTATTGAAAGACTATGAAAATATCTTTTTTAAATTCTGTATCATAAGAAAAAAATAATATTGTTGAATGATTATCTGGCTTAGTTTAAAAGATATATGTTTTTTTTTGTCACACAGAAGTTCCTCCAAGCTGGAAGAGGCCTGTGATCTCTATGTGAGGGCAGCAAATATGTACAAAATGGCCAAAAACTGGTGTGGTAAGAATGCAATTTTTCATCTTTTATTTATTTTCTCGTTCATAAATATCAGAGCGTTTGCTGTTTCACCATCAAATGTTGTCGTTTCAGCTGCTGGAAACGCTTTCTCCCAAGCCGCTCACCTCCACCTACAAATGCAGAGCAAGCACGACGCAGCGACCAACCTCATAGATGCTGGAAACGCCTTCAAAAAAGCAGACCCACAAGGTGATTTTTAATTACCACAGTCAGGGAACTGACTGCTGAAACGTACATCAATTACCAAAAAAAAAGAAAAAAAAAAGATTTCCAAATCATCTGTTTCTGATTCGACATTGTTCAGTTTAAATGTTTCTAAAAGTAGTTTGTTTCCAGCACTGTCACATTTTATTACAGTACTTAACAAAGAAGGTGTTCTTGTTGTGAAGTGGTTCTGGATTATTTTGCTATTAATTTGAGAAAAAGCAATAAAAATGACTATAATTACTATCCCAATAATCAACTTTTGTGAGACTGGATTTTAAATCAGTTTTTTCTCCACAGAGGCCATAAACTGTCTGAACAGAGCTATTGAAATCTACACAGATATGGTGAGTTTTTTTGTTTTGGGGGAATCATTTTGTGTTTTTTCTTCGTCTCATAATTTGCTTATTTATTTTTTAATTTTAGGGTCGTTTCACCATCGCAGCCAAACATCACATCAGCATCGCAGAGATCTACGAGACAGAACTGGTGGACATCGACAAGGTCTGGAAGACAAAAAGACTCGCCGATGCTGCAGAAGATTTAATTTTAACTTTTTGTAACATTTTAAAGACGTCGACTTCTGTCTTTTTCAGGCTATTGCTCATTATGAACAAGCAGCAGATTATTACAAAGGTGAAGAATCCACCAGGTGATTATTTTTGTTTGGAAAGTGACATTTATGATATCGATGTTTTGATTTTTGTTTGTGCACGTCTGTTAAATGTCACACATTGAGCTAAAAGTTAGATTTTTTTGTTGTTGTTTTCAGTTCGGCGAACAAGTGCCTTCTGAAAGTGGCGACCTACGCCGCTCAGCTGGAGCAGTACCCGAAAGCCATAGAGATTTATGAGCAGGTGAGGCGAGACGCTCTTCATCCGTCTGCAGCTGCGAAACAAACAGGAAGTGCTTATTTGTTTTGCTTTTCAGGTGGGAACCTACGCGATGGACAGCACGCTCCTGAAATACAGCGCCAAGGATCACTTCTTCAAAGCGGCCCTGTGTCATTTCTGCGTAGACATGCTGAACGCAAAGGTAAACGACGCAGAGCTGACTTAATGTGAGCTACGAGAGTTCTAACGTTCCTCCTTGTCGTCTCACAGCTCGCCGTGCAGAAGTACGAGGAGATGTTTCCGGCGTTCTCAGACTCCAGAGAGTGCAAGCTTTTGAAGGTAGGCACGTCAGTTTTTGTCTGGGTTTTTGTTTCGTTAATCCTCCAACAGAAACACCTGAGTCAGCGTTCCCAAAAGGCGTCTGTAGTCGAGCTGCAAGATATTTGAAAACTGACACAAAATGAAACAAACGCTCCTCTTTTTATTTAACGTTAGCGTTCATGCTAACCGTATTTTACCTCTTTTCCTCCAGGTCCCTGAAGTGTCACAACAAAATCAGTTGTAGCTTTCTTTGACACAAAGCAACTCATCAAAATAAAAGCTGTAACACTTGACCATTTAGTGCCACAACTAGACAACCTGTTGATTTAATTTGCCTCCTACATCACAGGACCTGCAGTGTGACACGGCAATGATGGTGCTCAGACGATTTATCGTGCAGCTGTAGTCTGTAGACAGAAAATCAGGCTAAAAGTTTTAATTTGTTGTGCTTCAGCTGATTCCTCTGGAGTCTCGACTGCGTGACTATTTATTAATTTTTGTTTTGTTTGTCAATCAGAAACTTCTCGACGCATACGAAGAACAGAACGTGGACGCCTACACTGATTCGGTGAGTGAACTTAATTTTTTTAGCTTGTGCATTTTTTTATCCTGTTGTGTCTGAAACGTAAATATCCTTTAAATACAGAATGTCAAAGAAAACTTTATATTTAAAAAACTTGACATAATACACATGATCTTACTCATTTTTTCACATAACTTGCATGTTTTTTTTTCTTGGCTCAACTAAAGTGAAACAGGAAGTGACATGAAAGGGGAGCTCTTTAAGAAAGAAAACTGGTCTATTTATTATTTTAATATTATTTAAAATCAAGCTCTTCTTCATGCGGGGGATTTATTCATCAGATTGATCTCTCTTTATTCATGTGAACAGGTTTGTCTGTTTTTGAAAATAAACCGTTTTCTTGTTCGTTCGAAGGTGAAAGAGTTCGACACCATCTCCCGGTTGGACCAGTGGCTCACCACCATGCTGCTACGCATCAAGAAGACCATACAGGACGACGAGAGCGACCTCCGCTGACTCCTCCCACTCACCCCCAGCGTTCGCCGCCTGCCTCTCGCTCACACCCCTGCAGCTCTTAACATTTGCCTCCGGCAGTATTTTTCTCTCGCCTTTGTATACCACTCGTGACAAAAAGTCTTTATACGTGCGAACACTATTTTTCCTGATTTCCTGAACCACGTTCTGGTCAGATTATTCAGACTTCTGATGCAATACCAAAAAAAAAAAAAAAAAAAACCTACCAGCATACCTGTATCATAAAGATTTTATTTTGTTTTCATTGCTCTGTGATGGACGAGAGAAAGCAACATTACTAACCGTTTGATCTAATATTAAATATATTTTGCATAACTTGCTTTAGAATAAACAAATTGAAATGAGGTTGTGTAAGTGGAGCGGCTGGAGTTCGTTTGTAAATAAACTCGGCTTCGTCTCCATGAAAGAAGCGAGGGAGGGTTTTCCACGGCGGACATTTTGGCTCGAAAGAGGCAGGAAAGCTGACGGGCCGCGTTCCATTTCTGCTCCGGAACACCCTTCAATCGACTCAGATTGTATTGCAGATATGAAGGCTGCAAAATTTTACACTTAAACATAATTATTTTCTAATTAGTCTGAGCCTGAGTGTTTGTCCCAGTTGTCTCCATGTGTCCCTGTGATGGACTGGAGACATGTCCAAGATGCCCCTGCTGGGGACGGACGTCAGCCCATGACCCCCGGTAAGATGACATGAATAAAAATAAAAACTGATGGATTATCACCTCTGTGTTGTCTTGCATCCAGCAGGGGGTGCTGCAGCACCTTCCACACCCCTACTTCACACCAGTTGCCCACAAACCTTAACTGTTACTAATCTGTTAGAATAATAAATATAAAATATTTTAGATTAATTTTTGTTACATTTTTATGTTGATATTTTTTATTTTATTATATTTTTGTCTCCCATAGCTTTTTCCCAGCTTGTCTTGCTTGTGTCGCACCAAAACTCTAATATGTTTTCTACATTTAAATTATTTTTAAAGGAGAAATAAAGTTCTGCAGGAAGTTCTGGACCGAACAGAACTTCCTGGCTCAAGAGCGGCCCTTGTTAAACCAGTCCTTCCTGCTCTTTCAGGTCAAAATGTCTGAAATAAACTGAAATCCCCCTCCTGCCTTAATCAGCTCTCAGGACGTGGGCGGCCACATTAAATTAAATTTAAAAAAATGCATGCTTTTGTAATTATTTCTCCTTTTTTCCCTCATTTCAAAGGCTTTAAATCCAGAATTTGACAACTTTGTGAGCATGATGTGGACTGGGGAGGACTTTGTGTTAGATATATCTTATTTTTTATTTTGTTGATAAATCCATTTCACTGCCTGTAAGAGATGCAAAAGAAAAAAATTGAAAGAAAACGATTTTACATATCAGAACACTGTGATAACTGACTGATTTGATGCTTCCTGTTTGAATAAAGAGGCTGCTGTTTCAGTGGGCGTGGCTTCCCCCACCTGCGCGTGACTTAATTACCGGCAGTCTGGTGCTCCGGCACCTGGATCTTTTCGCATCGTTACAACCTGCTGCCGGGGAGGAAACATGAGGGGAACATTTTAACTTTACGGGACTTTTTTCATGACCTGCATGAAACCTTTAGAAACCCGCAGAAACTTACTTTCTGCGCCTTTTTTCCTGCACCTTTTCTGTCGCTCTGTAAGTACGTTTATAAGCTTTAAAATGATCCAATTTACGACTAAACGATGCATCAGAGATTTGTTTGTTTAAACTTAAGCTGATTTTTAAATAGGCAGTATTCAGTTTAGTTAAATCTGTAATTAATGTCCTTATTTAGTTTAAAAACTAATTAATTGGTTTGAGCATAGTGGGCTGGGCAGTAAGGTGCAGCAATCATTTAATTCTACCCTAAAAATACCTATTTAAAATGAACACAAACTAGTCAATTTAGTGTATTGTAAAATAATAGACCCATTACATTAGTGGGTTTTGTTAAATTTTATTTATTCTTTGACTAAATTAAAATAAATATAATTTTTAATTTAAGAATGCAAAATTTATTCATTGTTCGTAATTACCAAGATAATTGGGTTCAATGGGTGCTAATGACAGGAAAAAGGATCTTATCAAATGTCTGTATAAGGCACCTCAGTTTAATGGAAAACAAAGTATCTGTTTAGTGAAATAATTGCATAAAGTAACCACTGAATATAAACCAATACAAGATGGTTGCCATGCTAATCCCTGTTGGCCAACACAAAAATAACTAATTTAGTTAATTTGACAAATATTGAACAAATGTTTGCTGTGGCAAGTTATCCCAGCATGCTAAGATCCCTTTTCAAGATGGCTGCCATGATAACATAATAATAATAATAATAATAATAATAATAATAATAATAATAATAATAATAATAACAATAATGCCTGTATTTGATACCAGGGATGTATGGTAATAAGTACTTTTACTTCATTACAGTAGCCTATTTTTTTTGGTAACATTTATTTCTTTAGCCAATTCAAAGTGTACTTCTTTAAAATTCAACACCTCGTTACAAATTTAAATACAATGAACTCGTGAGTTGTTTATACTCTATGAAGTGTTGAGTAAATGTAATTCAATTATATCAATTTACTCAACTGGGTTTAGTGGAACCAGTTTGGCTAAGTAAATTCAACACTTGCGTGTAAAAGTACTTCTGTTTCTCAATTATTGTGAGCAGTTTGGACATTTTTACTGAAGTACAATTTTTTACAAAGTAATTTTCTGTTAAAGTATTTCCACTTTTAATTTATTTTAAGTACTTTATGTATGTTTGGACTGACTGAACTTATAGAGCGCTTTTAGGTTCCTTTTAAGACCCCAAAGTGCTTTACACTTGACAGACATTCACCCATTCTCACACACTGATGATGGTAAGCTACAGTGTAGCCACAGCTGCCCTGGGGCAGACTGACAGAGGCGAGGCTGCCATACACTGGCGTCACCGGACCCTCTGACCACCATCGGTAGGTAAGGCAGGTGAAGTGTCTTGCCCAAGGATACAACGAAAAAAAAAAAAGTCCAATTCTCTTTTACGACTAAAATTAGGTGTTAGTTGCTGAGTCATGTCTTCTGAAAGCCATAAAATGTGTAACTTTTTTCTTATTTCTTTAGACAAATGGAGTCATTGTTGGCTGAACACTTAATCACTGATGACATTGAACACTCAAAGGTGTCACTGAGTTTAGATCTACAGCTCACTGATATTGATACAATTTTGATATTAGCTGAGTCATCCTGGACTGGGTGTTTCCACATCTTACCTGTCAACATTCTCGTTGGGTTTGACCAAAATATGTTTCTTTTTTTAAGCACACAACTAAAAACAAATGGCATGAAAGACAGCGTGACGTGCATTCCTTCAAAAGAAATGAGTCTAGAAAAGTTTGAAAGACTCGTTTTGTTTATCTTAGAACAGTGAAACAAACTGAAAGCTGGTAGTGATTTGAATGCTCCAAGTTTAACACTTTGTCGTTTTATAGTCTTTAAAGTTCTGATGAAGTACGGATAGTAAAACGTCTACAAGGAAAGCTGAAAATCTTTTTTTTAAATGCAACTGAAAAGCTTTAGCTGGTGGTCCAAGGGAGGTTGTAAAATCTAAAGATGCAATTCCCAACGTTGGTTTATGGACCTGACCCATGAAGTAGTTCGGGATCTTGAGATGATTTCTGGAAATAAAACAAACCCATTTTTGCCATAGTTACGAGAGGTGCATTTCTAATTGGATAAATATAATTTGTCATTGTGGCAATATTCGTTAACCAGAAAATGGTCATAAAGAAACCATGGTGTTTGTGTCAAACCTGCTAAGATTAGAAACCACTGATCTAAATCTGTAGCCAAAGGTCTTTAAACTACCTTCTTTTATGCATTTGTCTTATTTCCTTGACCATAAAATGACTTTAGAGTCATGAAGTCAGTCATAAACTGACTGACTTCATGTCCAGAATGTTTATCTTTTTTAAGGTGTTCTGATTTGAAATTTTTCTGCTTCGCAGGAATCTCCAGGGTGTCACCTCCTGACAGAAAAAGTGTAACCTGAGACCAGATCAAGCTTCTTCCCTCCGAGAGATGATTCACATCTAGAGCAGCTCTCTGGGCTACCTTGTTTCCTCTCCCGAGCCAATGAGGCGAGTCAGAACCTTCAGCGCCATGCTCGTCGTCACATCATTTCTCCTTTTCTTCTACTTGAACTTCCGTCTGGAGATGACCACCACCGTCAGGGCCACCAAGAACGTCTCCAGGAAGGAGGACTTCACCACGATTCCCGCCGTTGTGCACATTGTGACGGTTTCCAACGACCTGAGGCAGATCATCCCCAAGGATAGCGCCTACTGGAATCGCCTGCTGTACTCGGCGATGAAGAATTTGGAGAACGGGGAGAGACCCAGGAGAAGGGAGCCCCACTGGTCCGTGTGCAGGGAGGAGAACTGGGAGCTGCTGAAACTCAACGTTCATGATTTCGACTCCTACCCAGGCATGATGCAGGAGTTCCTGCGGGGCATGAACTGCCTGTCCCCGCCATTGCTGATCGACCAGCCGTACAAGTGCGTCAGGGCGGTGAGGGATAACCAGACTCTGCTTTTGGCCATCAAGTCGTCCCCGAGAAACTTCGAGAGGAGGCAGGCAGTGAGGGAAACTTGGGGGCATGAAGGTGTGTACGAGGGCGGCATGAGGGTGCGCCTGATGTTCCTCATGGGGAACATGGCGCCAGACGACCCGGACCTCAGCACGCTGCTGTCGTTCGAAGCCAAACACTTTGAGGACATCCTGCAGTGGGACTTTGACGACTCTCTGCTGAACCTGACCCTCAAGATGAACATGTTTCTCAAATGGACGGTGAAAAACTGCCCCTCTGTTTCTTTCATCTTCAGCGGGGACGATGACGTCTTCGTCAACACCCCTGGACTGATCAAGTACTTGCAGTCCCTGGACACTAACGAAGCATCTCAGCTGTATGCCGGACAAGTCATCAGCACGGCGAGCCCCCTCAGAGACCCTCGAAGCAAATACTACATCCCTCACAGCTTCTATAACGGCCCCTACCCCGCTTACGCCGGCGGTGGTGGGTTTCTCTTCTCCGGAGCCCTGCTGAAGCCTCTGTTCACAGTTTCACAGATACTCCCCCTATTCCCCATCGACGACGTCTACGTGGGGATGCTCATGAAGGCTCTGGGGGTTTCCCCCAATAGCCATGGAGGATTTCAGACTTTCGACGTCAGGAAGGAAGACCGCGAGAACGTCTGCGTGCACAAAGCGAACCTCCTGATTCACCAGCGGTTGCCACATCAGGTCGAGAAGCTGTGGAGGGGCATCAACAACCCGCACCTGACCTGTTGAAACAGAGACCGATCGACTGCACATTCGCGTGACTGGATGCATCATAACTTGGGAGGGGGACGTTTAAAGTAACTCAAAGTGGGGTTTTAACTGGACTTATTTCCACAGGAAGAAAAGGACAATGTTTTCGTGTTTACTCCTGTCGAGCCAAATAAATATTATTCATGACGACAAACGTTCTAGGTTTTATTTTCAACAGAAACATCCAGAGGAAGTGTGTAGTCACAACAGAGCAACTCAATGTATTTCCTCAAAACCAGATAATACAGATACACTAATAAAGAGCCTAAATCACCAGTTCTTTGAATTTTAATTTTATTGAGCTCAAACCATTTTTTTTTCTTCTGTAGCTCAAAACAAAACAACTGAAAATCCTGGAAGAAGTTTGATTATTGTGAATGTAACACAACCGAAGACACAAAAAAATCCTACAGGAAGTATCCAGGGTTCCTACACTTACAGCTTCAATCAAGTTTGAGTGGTGCAGTTTGTTCATGCTTGTGTAAGATTGTTAGCCATGTCTGTCAGCAAAATATCACAATCTGCAGGCTGGTGTAATCACTGTATTTACATCTTCAACCTTCAAGATGAGACACTTCAAGATGGCTGCTATATAGATGGTTATTTATTGAATTTTACAAATATTCAGAGGTGGGCACAGCTAACCAGAGTTGGCTTAGTAAGAATCTTTGCTACGCTAATGCTACAGTTAAAAATAAACCAAAAAAAAGGGTGGACTGACAAAAACCTGTTTTCTATTGTTTTGAAAGTGGGCAGGATCATTTGTGGCAAATTGGCCAAATCAAAACCAGTTGTAGCTTTAACTTGTGATACTTCCAGTTTACCCCTTTCAGAATAAAAACATTTCTTGATTATTTCTAAATACTTTTTGAAGTTGGATACCTTCTCTACCATATAGCCAATTTCTATATTATACTTAAATAATTTTGATGCTTTTAGTTTGAAGTTTAGCTAACAACGCTAGATGCTAACACAGAGTGACACATCTAGCACTGCTTGTAAGAGGTGATAATGTCATTCATGAGTGCCAAAAATAGAAGTTTAACACTTGTAAATTATTTAGAGAACTTAACGGAACTCAATTTAGTGGAAAGTAATCTGTTTGCTAACAGTTTCTAAAGTTAGCAAAAAAAGGCTAAAGTGCTGAATGTGAGGCTTTTAGGGGAACTGCGCCGATCACTGCAAATATTGAGCTAAAATTCAGCGTGGGAGTATTTTGCCAGGCAGCAATTCCTACGTTGTTCATTTGGATGTGGAAGGGTTTTTCTCCACTGGTTTTTACAGTAAACTTGTTTTTCCCTCTTTTGAAAACAACTTCAGTATTATTTTGAGAAAATATGAAGTTTCTTTAAATCAAAACCCGCATTTGATCAGATATTTTATAATTACCTAGTACTTGATGTGAATCACACTAGATCAATTTTTAACTCCGAATCTGTAAAACTGAACGAGCAGCCGCCATGTTTTTGTACTGGCTAATATCAGTTAGCTGTGTTTGCTAACGTGTTCAAATATGGACCACTTCTTTACTAAATGACTAAAGCTGTAGAACTGTTATTTTTATGTAACAGAGTGGAAATGTAGTTTTGACCCTTTTATTTCTTCCCGAACGAAACGACAAACTCCGCTACACGAACACGGGGTGCGGTTAACGTCAGTCCCACTTCTGGGGCGCAGTTATTTCTCGTACAGGTCGAGGGGGTAGTGTTCCTTGTACTGCTGCACGTGCCTCCACATGGCCTCCCTCTGCTTGCTCAGGCCCGGCGTCATCTCGTGGTACACGTCCGTGAACATCAGCTCCACGTTGGGCTTCAGGCGCCTCTCCGCGCGCTCGAACGCCTCCATCACCGTCTTGCGGGACTGCTTGCGCCAGCCGCGCTCGTCGTCCTCGCTCCACCAGCTGCGGGCCGTCATGTAGTGCCTCAGCCTGGAGATGGGGTGGTCCTGCTTGTCCCAGTAGTTCACCTCGTCCACCGAGCGGTAGGCCGAGCTGTCGTCGCTGGTGCTGTGGTGCCCGATTCTGAAAGTAAACAAGTTTCACTCTCTTTGTTCAAAATCTTAACTCGTGACTTATTTATCTCTGAAACATTCTTAAAATTACAAGATCTGAAACAAAAGTAATACAATCTAATTTAATTTCCTCACATCAACTATAAAAACTTGAATGATGCAGTATAAAATGTGATTTAAGTATTTGCAAACCTCAAACTCATTTTATTGACAATGAAACAAAATGTTTTGAGTTTCAGTTTTGACTGTGGCTTGTGGAAAAACACAGAGTTTATTGTGGAGTTATTAGTGGGGGGGAGTTCAACGTGAAGAAATTTGATCTGGTTTGAACGTTGATGAAACCGCCCGAGGCTGAACAGGTTGGCCAACTAAAACATAGTAAAAATATAATCACTCGTTACATCTTTCTGCATACTTTCCTGGTCGGTCATCTTCATGTTTCCCTTGATGTTTGATTGCAAACAGAAGTTAAAGGTACCTTACAACATTTTTCAGGTAATGAACTCACTGGCTTGGAATGATGGCGAGAAATAAAACGTTTATAAAGATTAAAAAAATCTGCGTTATTAATTTATTGTTATTTTTTTTACCACAAATCAATGGTTAATGTGTCCTTAAATTAAATATTTGTGATGCCGACCATCATTAGTGTTTGTGAGGATGGATGAAATATACGGTCCAAAGTTTGAGGTTCAAACAAAGCTGAAATTTTTTTGCTTTTAACATTTCTATATTTTACTTTAACTTTTGTTTTCTTGAACTTATGAGAGTTTTAATGAGTTATATTAATAATTTAGCACTGAAGAGCTAAAAAATGCTAAGTGCTAGATTATAGGTAGAAGCGTCAAAAGGCTTAGCTTAAAGCTAAATTAGCACGCTTAGCTTAAAGTCTTAATTAAAGCAAATTTAGCAGGCTTAGCTTAAAGGCTTAATTAAAGCAAATTTAGCAGGCTTAGCTCAAAGCTAATTTAACAGGCTTGGCTTAAAATTAATTTAGCAGAAGTGTCTTCTTCTACATTAGCTGCTAAGCCTTTTGATGTTTCTACCCAGCTACTTCTGAGAAGAGTAGCTATAACCTATGAGAAGCAGAACACTAGCTGAAAGTAACATAAGGTTAACTTAAAGCCAAAATTGGTAATAAGCTAGCTAAAAGCTGCAAAATGAAAGCTAAAAACTAAAAAGTAGCATAAGAATTAGTGGTAGGCACAGTTACGCTAATATCTGCTAATAGCATAACTAGCTTCTCATTTAGCGATTTAGCTTTTTTTTTTTTTTGCTAACCTTGGAAACTGTTAGCAGCTCGATTAGCTTCTGCTAATTTGAACACAGACTGTTATGGCAATATTTATTTAACAACAGAGACAGAAATACGCTGGTCAAGAATGAAGGTACTCCGTGAGATGATCAGCTGAGTTTTATTGCAACAACAGGAACACAGAGAACGTGGCCTGTCTCTGTGCCTCTCTGTCAGTCTCTCCACACTGCTCACTGTCTCACTCTGTTGCACCCTGTGTCTCGAGAGGCCTCATATACAGCATTCTGTCATCTTAGCAAGATTTGATACAAGGTCAATGGAAAACACAAAGATAAACACAAGTGATATCTAAGAATGATTATTGTTGTTAGCAGATCTTGTTCTGACTTTAATCATTCTGTCTGCAGATGAACAGCATGCCAGGAAAATCTAGGTCATTAAAGGATGTCATGAATTACTTGCTTAAACATAAAAGTATTAGTTCTATTACACAGACAGTAATTTTCTAATCTGTATGGCGGTTTAGAGTAAGAGTTATGATTCTCATTTAGCGGGTTGGTGGTTAAAGAAGTTGGCTGAACCCACCACTTCAGGAAGTAGCTAAAGCAGCTAAAAATGTTTTAAAAGGAACTGAAGAGATGTCTGAGGAAAAGATTAATAAATTAACATTTAAAACAGCTAAAGTGCGCAGAAGAAGCTACATTGCAATTTTTTTTTATTATTTTGTTAACGCTGAATCATCAGTTTTCAGTTAAAGTGTCTGAATGTTGGAGTCGACCCTCAGACATTCAGAAAAACATCTTCAAACATCTTTTCTGGTGTCTTTAAAGATGTTTTCAGCTGCTGTGAGACGATTATGAGCCAGGAGGAGAAAAAAAAAACTAAGGCTGATTTATTGATCTAATGACTTAATCATTGGATATTAGAGGGAGTTGTTCAAAACGTAAGGCCTTTCAGTCACAGTTGAAGGTATGAACGGCTCAAAGCGTCTGAGGAGAAACGCTGAGACTGAACAGGTGGAGCATGATCGAAAAGCTCAATTAAATTAATTTCCCGTTTGGCATTTCTGGTTCTTCCTGGAAGTCGTCAAGATGTCACGAAAATCCTTTGTGCAACAATAAAACACTCAAAGCTCTCAGGAGGATGAACGGATCCAGAAAACCTGTTTTTCTGTTGTTTATTCTGTCATTTATTTAAACCATCAGTAAATTTACTGTCTAAACAAGCTGTTTCATCTGTAAACTCAAAGAAAGGTTGGGCGTGGGAAGGTTTTTTCCCCTCATTTTCACCTGAAGGTAACGAACCTTCGCAGCGATTTTAACAAAAACACCAAAATAAAAATGGCTAAATTTAGAAAAGGAGCTAAAATATTTGGTGTGGCAGCAGCTGAGCATCCTTAGTGTTAACTTGTCTGTTAGCGAAATACCTCAAAAAATCGAGTATAAATTATCGTGCCGAGTTTTGCCTTTCCGACACACTTGAACGCATCACTAGCCCCCTCCCTTCTGGACGCGGAGAGAGTGCGTAGGGAAAACATGGCGGCAGCGGGAGATTCGGGTGAGCATGAGACTAAAACTGAAGACAACTCAGATAAATTAGATTAATAATCTGTAGTTTGGATTTTGTAACGAGGATGTCGAACAAAATGCGGTAATTTGCAAAACATCCCGTTCTGGATCAGTCGAGTTTATCGTCACTGTTTATCGTTACTTACCGGAATAGTCCGGTAGTACACTAATTATTATTATTTTTCTTATTTTTACTTTGATCTATGTTTATTTTTTATTGTTACTATCTTTAATTCTATTATTATTGCTACAATTGATAATGTCACACAGCATTGGATTACATACAACATACATCATGGATTGATGTATGTATCCGCTGCTGCTACTACACCTGAATTTCCCTGCGTGATGTTTCTATTCTATTCTATTCTATTCTATTCTATTCTATTCTATTCTATTCTATTCTATTCTATTCTATTCTACTTTTATTTTTGTATTTTAAAGCCATTATATTTTATAATTTTATATGTTTTATGTTGAAAGCACAAGAGCACCTTTTTGTTTCAAATGTTTATTTTTCCCTTTTGCTTGATGCACTTTTTTGCTGCTATGATCCATTCATTTTTGAGTTCTTAAGGGCCACTATCCAGCATGTTTTCTTGTTTCCCTGCTCAGCCACGCCTGATGTTCATGACCAGATGATTTACAGACTTCTGCAGACTTTAAAGAGGTAATTAAATGACTGAATCAGGTGTGTTGGAACAGAGAAACAGGTTAAACATGCAGGACTGTGGCCCTCGAGGACCTGAGTTTGACACACCTGATCTTGAGTGTCGACAACAAAAAGACAGAAGCAATTATTCCACGTGTGTGAGAAACTGATGGTTATAATGGTTAAAACAGAACATTTAAATTTGTTCAGATTCAGTATTCAAATTATTTTTGATCAGTTTTTAATCATTTTTTTCATCGATTTTGGAGGTATCGTGATATATATCGTGTATCGCGATACAGCCGAAAAATATCGGGATCTAAGATTTTCCTCATATCGCCCAGCCCTACTCTCAGCTGCTACCACATCATCCTTTATCTGTGAAGAATACGAGGTTGTATTTTTTGTAAGGTTCTCACCTGTAGGTCATGGCCTCGATCAGGAAAGGCTGATTTTCAGCCACGGCCCGGCGGCGAGCTTCCTTCGTGGCGTTGTACACGGCAAACACGTCGTTGCCGTCGACGCGAATGGACAGCATGCCGTAACCCGGCCCGCGGGCAGCTAAAGAACGAGAGAAACAAAAAACATAAACAAAACAAACAAACAAAAAAAAACCGATCAGATGTAAAAAAGGATGGGGTCAAGTTCACACGGAAATCCAAACCCGAGCTTACCGATGCCGTCCCCTCTGTACTGCTCGTTAGTGGGGGTGGAGATGGCGTAGCCGTTGTTGCGGCAGAAGAAGATCAGCGGGCACTCCAGCGTGGCGGAGAAGTTGAAGCCGGCGTGTGCGTCCCCTTCGCTGGCCGCCCCCTCCCCGAAGTAACAGATCACGGCCCGGTTGGCGTTCTCGCGCTTTATGGCGTACGCAGCTCCGGCCGCTGGGGGTGCGACGGAAAATCGAAAACCTTTTTAGATCTTTAAAAAACAACAACAACAACAAGAAGACAGAGGAGGTGCAAACAGCAACTCACCTTGAGGAATCTGCGTGGCCAGAGGAGACGAGATGGTGACGAAGTTGAGGTCTTTGGAGCCGTAGTGGACGGGCATCTGGCGGCCCTTCCCGAGGTCGTCGGCGTTGGCGTAACACTGAGCCATGAAGCGATCCAGAGGGAAACCACGGTACATCAGAACTCCTGCCAGGTCAAACGGAAACGGTTTAAAAGTGGCAGGGATGACAGATCCCAGCTCATGATCCATAAAACAGACTTAGAGACACGTCTGAGTGATATGTGGCGGCCATCTTTAATATATTTATTTACAAACGGGCTGAAAAGTCGTCAGGGTTTTCTCGTTCACCTCACGTGTTTCAGCCAAGTGCTTCTTCAGAAAGCAGGCCGTCGGCTCAGATGTTTGCATGAGCCGAGCTTTGCATAGACTCACAACAGACGGAGGGAAAATTTGTTTTACACAGACATGCCCGGCGGGTTGAAACTCCTTGGAAGATAAAAGTAAAAGCCGAGCTTTGCTTGAAGGAAGGCACATCCCTTGTTGCTTTTTGGGTCAAAGCTTCAGACTCCGATCAGGTTGCGGCTGTTTTTTGTTTTAGCTCAATCTCTGTGAAATGTATCGAGTCATGTTTGTGTTTCCTAATTAGCTGTGGGGCCGACTTGAATGGGGTTGACTTCATGTAAATCTAATGAGCGTCGTTAAAATCCATCATGAGATATTTTGCTAACAGACTTCATTGACTAGAATAAAGTCTAAGCAGAATTTCAAATAAAGATCTCAGCTACTATCACGCCAAATTCTAGGTCAGAATCTGTAAAACTGACTTGGTTATAGTCAGTTCTGTGTTTTTTTATTAAAATATCAGTTGAATCTGGCAGCCTGATTACATAAGCTAATGCATAGTTATAGTTAAAGTGCCTGTGACATCAAATTTTTTATAATAAATATGAACGTTTTTCTGGAAGGATAACATTGATGACATATTGTAAAAAAAAGATTTCACGTCGCTGAGATAAACAGTTGTTGAGATATTTGCATGTGAAGAAACAGGAAGTGATGTCAAAGGGGAATGTCTGAATGTAAAAAGAGGGTTGCTAAAATGGCTAACAACACACACTGTAGAAAATAAAATATTTCTTTAGATTATTTTAATCACTATTATAGAGAGATGAGAAAGAGTCATAGATCAAATAATAGTTTAAATAAACAAAAAAAAACAGTTTTCTTTGTTAAAGAGTTCTCCTTTGATGTCACTTCCTGTTTCAATTTAGCTGAGCCAAATTCAAAAGAAAACATGCTAGTTATGTGACATAACAGATAAAATCATGTGTATTATGCTAAGTTTCTTAAATATAAATATATTTTCTTTGACTTTTTGTATTTGACTAATATGCATGTCACAAGCCCTTTAAGACACTATGAAAACATTTAGCTACTCAGACCTCACCGGCTTCTCTGTATTGACCAAAAACCAGGTCGTTTGGCTCGAGAGCTGCAGCGCTGCCGATGTGCGTCCCCTCCTCGCCGTAATTAGTCATGTAGAAGGAGATTCGACCCTTTAACAGAAAAAAAACAAACAAAAAAACAATGCGTCACATTCACGATGCTCAAAACCAGGAAGTGCAAAGAAGAAAAAAACGGCGCACCTGTCTCTGGGACTCGTAGAGGATGCGATCCATCGTGTTCAATAAGGTCATCTTCTGGTAAAAGTTCAGCACCGTCTCTTTGGAGAGCTGAGCGGGAAGAGGGACGAAATCAGACGGCAGAGTTTCAGGAGCAGTTTGAAATGCTGTTGGCGATGAGGCGGGCGTACCTGAGGGTCCTCAGAGGGGTTGATGATTTTACCCTGCCTGTCCATGACCCGGTACACCGGGATGCCCGAGATCACGTTGGGCTGGATGAATTCGAGGTGGTCCACATATTCTGCTGAGGCTCCGGGGAACTGAGGCTTATCCAGCGACGAGTCATCGGGCTGCTGCTGCACGACGGCCTGAGGGAGGAAAAACACGAAACTTATCAACAAACAGACCCATTTCAAGAGTCACAGGCAAAGATTTAAAAATAAATCTTCCCCTAGTCCAGTAATTAATTGTAACTCGATGTTTCAGTGCATCCTGCGAGTATTTTCACACAACAAATGCAGTAACATTCCTGTCCTTCTACTTCAGCAGGAGATAAAAAGACTAAAATGTTTCTATTTTAATAAACTCTCCATTGTCCCGCCACAAAAGAAGAGGCTATAATAGTTTCCTTCATTTTAACACGAGATAACAAAATGTTTTATTTACACGGGTGTGCTGGAACTGTGAGGGAGTGCCTCACTAACAGACTGTGACGTGAACATTTACATTACACACACAGCTAAATGAAACATGACCGAGTAAAACACTCATATACATATGTTTAAATACATTTTTAATGAAGTCGAGAAACATTTAGAAATAAAATAAACACATTGTTCGGGTAAAAAAAAACCTTAAAAAGTATTGCATTTGTAGAAAAACAAAGAAAACTGATTTGTACATTTGGATTATACTATAAATTTACAACCACACTGACTCTGATGCAAAACACAAAATATTTACTAAATTTGGATGATAATTAGATATTTGCCCCTGTTTAAGTTGAATTTTCTTGAGACAAAAATGATTTTCCATTGGATTTTAATTAGGATTCATGTAAAAAATTCAAAGTTAATTTTAATTAAATGTTTACAAATGTTGAAAAATTGTTTTGAAAGTTTAATTTAGAGCACGAAAAACTAAATATTTCCATTTTAAATGTTTATCCTTGAATTTATGACCTGTATTGAAGCACTGCTGACGTGCAGGTGCAACCGTAGGTGTTGTAAATGAACTGGTACACCTGCAGGTTTCTGCGTCACGCCCCTCCGTTCGACCAATGGAAGGAAACTAGCTACAACTTTAGCCGGTGTTGTACGAAATTCAGTACCCCTGTGAAAATCTGTTTCCCCTGTGTTGGAAGCGCCTCCCTCATAGGATTGGTCTGACGTTATGCCTGGAACAGTGATTCTCTCTAAGGTTTAACCACTAGGAGGAACAGATTTTCACAGGGGAACTGAAATTCGCACAACACCGGCTAGCTATTAGCATCAGAACAAGATCCACATAATGTCAATGCTTCAGATTTTAAACAATAAACAAAATTACCCAAAGTTGATTTTTTTAATTAAAACAACATAGCAGGATTAGTTTGCTTTGACGTAGCTGCTTTAAAGACACTAAATAGTGATATTAATGATGTTAGCTTTCCAGCTCACAACTCCAGTCATCGCGATAATTAAAGATAACCGCGTTTTTGTAAAATCTTGAATTATTTCCTACCTGTTGCAACAAAACAGGTTTATTTGCACTTATTCGTTTTATTGCAGCTAATGCATTTGGCCAAATTTGATCATTTTTGGGTGAGCAGTCGGAGAGACCCACAAAAAATCAGGCCGGTTTTCAATAACCTCTGCTTGATCTCTAGATAACTCGACCTCGGCTCGCCCTCGCGGTGTCTTTTCCTCGGTTTTGGGAACTTTTGAACGGTTTTTACTCACGCTGAACCTGAAGGACCGACGCTGGAGGAGCCGGGACGTCTTCAGCCCTGCTGCCTGACGGACAGCGTGAAAACAGGACCCGTATATTCTGCTCATGTTGCTCACAGCCGCCATCTTGGAATTCCGGCGGTTTGTTTGATCTCTCTAAGATCGCGTGTTAGTAAATTTTAACGGTATAACAAATGTTTTTGAAAGACAGTAAAGGAGTCCTCTCTGTTTTCTTTCTACGAGCTGGCTTCTTCGCCAGCCGGGGAGACAAGGATGGCGGCTGTGCTGCCCCCTACGGGTCAGCACGTGAATGACACGAGGATCTTTAGAATGACGCCGTCCTCTGGCGACCTCTGCTGGACGCAATGAACTTAACAGCCACCTTCTCTGGGGTTTTCTCCATCAATAAAAATCAACTGAAATAACTCAATTCAGAAACATTTATCTAACAACATATATATTTTATTTTGTACATATTGTCGAAGTCTTTCACTCACATACGCTCTGACTCATGGTCACCACAATCTCACAACTAAACCAGAGACTAAACGCTTCAACGCGACTTATTTTACAGAGAATAAAAAAAAAGACATAAAAATGTCGTTACACTATTAACAACAGTTATTTAAAGAAAACAAAAACTACCCTACATTTCCCACAAATTGCTGCATGACCACTGCGTAAGCTGAGTTTGCATGTTCTCATTTCAAAACAAAACCCAAGTTTCAAGTAAACCATAATTAAACCAAACTGTTGTTACAAACTGTTTGATTTGCATCTGATACTAATATAAAATAATTCAAAGGGTCGATTTCAAACGCTTTATGAACATTTAACCACATTCTCTTTGTGTGTGTTGACGGTGACTGCTGGTGTGGTAGCTGAACTACATTGAGTTTGTACTTATGTGTGATTTTAAAATAGAAAAACTCCCTGTCAATTTATCAAATTTTCATAAACAAATGCTGCTGGCATGATCTTTAATTTATAAACATAACTTTTCTCCGCGTATATGTTTTATTTGGAACAACCAGCACATTAGATACAAAAACAAACCTACAGTGGTTTGCAAAAGTATTCATACCCCTTGAACTTTTCCATATTTTGTCACATTACAACCACAAACATAAATATATTTCACTGGAA